CCGAGCGACGGCGCCTTCCAAAAGGCACAACGTTGGCACATTTCGACGAGATCGCAGATGTTTGTGACTGCTTTTCAGCACTCGAAGCAACACCTGCACAAGACCCACGTGACCTAGCACCTAACCTTGACGTCAGCCCTACTTTAACTCAGCAACAGCGGGAATACCTGCTTGTGCTGCTAGACGAGTTCCACGACTGTTTTGTGTCGACCTCAAAAATTGGCCGGACGTCCTTGACCAAGCACCGAATCATCACAGAGGACACGGCTAGACCAATCCATCAAAATCCGTACCGTGTGGCTTCAAAAGAACGAGAAGCCATAGAACAGCAGGTAACAAAAAAGCTTGAAGACGACGTCATTCAACCGTCGAAAAGCCCCTGGGCATCACCTGTTGTTCTAGTCAAGAAGAAGGATGGCAGCCTGCGTTTCTGTGTGGACTATCGAAAGCTAAACTAGATTACAAAAATAGATGTGTACCCGCTTCCGCGCATAGATGATTTGATCGACAGGCTTCGAAACGCACATTACTTATCTTCTATGGACTTAAAGAGCGGATATTGGCAAATTGAAGTTGACCCCAGGGATCGTGAAAAAACCGCTTTCGTGACGCCAGACAGACTGTACGAATTTAAGGTTTTACCATTTGGCTTGTGCTCCGCGCCTGCTACTTTCCAGCATCTCATGGACACCGTTCTCTCTGGGCTTAAATGGAGAACCTGCCTAGTATACCTTGACGACGTCATTGTGTTTTCTACAACGTTTGTTGAACACATTGAACGATTGCAAATGGTCTTGCAGGCCATACGAGCCGCAGGCCTGATGCTCAAGCCGGAGAAAATCACTTCTGCTTTGAGAAACTACAGTTTCTTGGCCATGTCGTCAGTTACGCAGGAGTTCGTCCAAACCCTGAAAAAGTTGCCGCCGTCGCACAGTTTCCAACACCATCAGATAAAAAGGCAGTGAGGAGTTTTCTGGGTCTCTGTGCATATTATCGGCGGTTTATTCCAGCTTTTTCGCGCATCGCGTCACCTTTAACTCGTCTCACGAGGGATGACGTTGCATTTGTTTGGGGGGACGAACAGGAAGATGCTTTCAATGACTTGCGGCAACGTCTACAGACGACCCCCGTGCTTGCCCATTTTTATGACACAGCCCCTACAGTGCTCCATACTGACGCCAGCAACGTTGGCCTCGGAGCTGTGCTTGTGCAGCGCCAGGACGATGAGGAAAGAGTGATCGCTTACGCAAGCAGAACTTTGTCACGCACAGAAGCAAATTACTCGACCACTGAAAAGGAATGCCTCGCCGTGGTGTGGGCAGTTATGAAATTTCGCCCATACCTGTACGGCCGCCCATTCAAGGTTATCAGTGACCACCATTCGTTGTGTTGGTCAACAAGTCTGAAAGATCCTTCCGGGCGATTGGCACGCTGGAGCCTTAGACTACAGGAGTTTGATATAACAATGGTGTATAAGTCGGGAAAACGACACACGGACACCGACTGCCTATCTCGATCACCAATAGAGTCGGCTGCTGCTTTTGATGAAGAGACAGCGTTCATCGGAATCCTCGACACGTCATCCATCGCAGATCACCAGCATGACGAGCCTGAGCTATTTGGCTTGATTAATTATTTAGAAGGACGAAGCCAGAATGCACCCAAAGCCTTTACAAGAGGACTATCGTCGTTCTGTCTGCGAAACAATGTCCTTTACAAAATGAACTTCTCGTCAGACCGGTCCACCTACCTCCTTGTCGTCCCTACCACTCTTCGTTCTGAGGTGTTGCAAGCGTGCCACAACGAGGTAACATCTGGACATTTAGGCTACACGCGCACACTGAGCAGAGTTCGAGGGAGATATTACTGGCCTAGACTCACCACTGCCGTGAAGCATCATGTTCGAACCTGCCTCGATTGCCAGCGGCGCAAGTCACCTCCAACGAAACGAGCCGGTTTGCTACACCCTGTCCAGATCCCGACAACGCCATTTGACCAGATCGGAATGGACCTTTTGGGCCCACTTCCCACCTCTAGTGTTGGTAACCGCTGGGTTATAGTGGCGACCGACTACCTTACTCGCTACGCCGAGACAAAAGCTATCCAAAGAGGCACAGCAGAGGAGGTAGCCCGGTTCTTCGTAGAGAACATTGTGCTGAGACACGGTGCGCCATGAATCGTTATAACAGATCGCGGAACCGCATTCACGGCCGCGCTTTTAGATCTTGTGTTGATGCTCAGCGGTACTATTCATCGCAAGTCGACAGCTTACCACCCACAAACCAACAGGTTGACCGAGCGACTTAACAAAACTCTGGAAGACATGCTTTCAATGTATGTGGACATCGAACACAAAAACTGGGACGAGATTCTCCCTTACATAACGTTCGCATACAATACTGCGAAACAAGAAACCAGTCGAATGACCCCATTCAGCCTTGTTCACGGACGAGAAGTAAGAACGATGTTAGACGCGATGCTGCCACACGAATGCGATGACAACGAAACGACTGCTGACGCGTTTACTCAACGCGCAGAGGAAGCGAGGCAGCTCGCACGTCTGCCAATATACCAACAGCAAGAATACGACGCAGGCCGCTATAACCAACGTCATACACCTGTAACGTACAAAACCGGGGACAGGGTATGGGTGTGGACGCCTGTACGAAGACGGGGACTATCCGAAAAATTGCTCAGAAGGTAATTCGGACCTCATCGAGTGCTGCGACGACTAAGTGACGTTACCTATGAAGTCGTCCCAGATAGCCCAAACTGTTCAAGGCGTCGCCAGCACCGACCTGAGCTTGTGCACGTAGTGCGCATTAAGCCATACGTCAGCGAGTAACTCTGCCAGGCTCCATCGCTTCTACAAAGTGACTTCATGGGCGAATTACTGTCTCAGCTATAGCATCGCGGCGATGCTCTTTTAAGGGAAGGCAAATGCCGCGCCCGAAACAAAGAACGAAGACGATGTGCGCGCCAACAGCTCGTGAAAAGGGGGACTGAAGAAGACGACATGCTTTTGTTTTGCTCGCCTGCTCTTGGCTTCTGCATAAAAACACACGCCGTTGGTTCTCGGACTCAACGTCTCGGTGCACTGCTTACGTTGAACCGCGACAATATATGTAACTTCCTTAGAAACTTGTGTAATATCCGATTACTGGCGCTTTGGGAGAATAGTCCCAATTCATAAATATGACTCACCATTTCCTTACATCTTTAGGCCATTTCCTTAGGCCAATTTTCCTTACATCCACAGCTTGTAAGCTACTAGAACACATAATATTTAAGGCGATTATGACACATCTGGAAGACAATAAACTGCTTCATGACAACAAACACGGATTCAGGTCTGGCCTATCCTATTCAGCTCAATTACCCGAATTCACTCATGACTTTGCAAATTCACTAAACTTTAAGGGCCAGATCGATGCAGTGTTTTTAGATTTTTCTAAAGCATTTGATGTAGTACCACACGATGATTTAATTACGAAACTGTCAGCTATTGGTGTTGATCAGAACATTGTCCGTTGGGTTGCATGCTATTTGTCATCACGGAAACAATATGTGATGGTCAATGACGGCATTTCTGACTCATTAGATGTACACTCATGAGTGCCACAAGGATACGTGCTTGCACCATCATTGTTTTTAGTGTACATAAATGATATTTATTTCTCAGTTCAATCACCTGTGAAAATCCGACTTTTTGCGGACGATTGTGTTATCTATGCCGACATTGTTCAGCATTCTGATCAAGCCAGACTCAATGATGCATTGCAATCCATCTGCGCCTGGTGTGATAAGTGGGGCTTGAAGCTCAACGCATCAAAAACAGCATCCATCACAGTTACGAACAAACAAAACCCATTAGCATTCCAATATACCATTAATAACGCTTATGTTAAAAAGGCGAGCGCCACTACGAGTTATGCAGTCGGCACCGATGTTTTCAAGTGTTAGAGGGCCCCTTTAAAATACGAATTGACCACCATGGCCTGACATGCGTCACTCCTTACGATTTTTCTGCATTTATGCCACATGCCACTGAGTAGCATGCCAGAATAATACTGTATACAGCTTGATTTTCATTTCGCTTATGCTCACTGGATGATCCCATGGTTGAATTTCATTCTTTTTAGTTTGCTAACTCCATTTTGGAGGAAGTTTGGAGCAGCATTTCTCTTTTGGACCAGTTTGTAGCAATTGGAGCAGCACTTCCATCACTGGATCATGTTTAACCTTTATGCGAAAAATTGTGGGTATGGTGCATGCTGAACAATTGGCAAAGAACGATTTGCAGATAATATATGAGGCTCTGTGGAGTCCTGATTGGGAATTTATTTTAATTACGTTTTTACCGTAGTAGGTTTAAAATGGGTATGGATTAGAAACGTTTTATTGCATGAGTAAGAATACATAACACTCGAACTCATTGCTCATTAAAGTATTGAAATTTGTTCAAGTATTTGCTTCTTTAACCGCATATTTGGCTGCAGCAGAATATGAAGGCTAAAATGAAGACTAAAAAATGAAGACTAAAAAGAGGCTTTATTTAAATACAGAAACTGTGACACAGAAGCCAAATACTGCAACCATTTTATCATATACACATGTCTCGGGAGCATGACAACATCCTTAGGATTTTCTCGCATGCAAGCTGGCATGGTGAGACAGTCAATGTGTTCACATTCTGCCAAGAACACATGGGCCCCAACAGAGCAAAGCCACATATGTGTCTCTGCTGCAGCGATTTGCATAATGCTCAGCCAGTTGGTAGCATGGCTTACAGACAGTTTACTATCAAAACTTATCATTATGCTTCAGCCTTTCAGGTTACTTACCAATAAAACACCCCTAACTTTTTTTTTTTCATAAGAAGCTGCACAGATATACTCATGCAACTTCCATAAGCCCCCTGTACAACCATGTGCTAAATAAAATAAAATAAAAGAGACAATGAAAGATGAAGAAGTAAGTCTGGAGTAAAGGAAACCCACCTTCCATACCCGCTAGCAGCAGCAGCTTGTGCAGCCAATTGAAGCAACTGCAGTGGTCCTTGGTTAGTGTTAGCATCTGAGGACACCAGAGGCTCCCCCAAGGCACCATTCATAGGGTTGTCACAAATGGAAATAGAACTCAATGTTCCCATCAGCAGACTGGCTGGCAGCAACTGCAGCCACAAAGTAAACACCCTTAGTATTTCATGGCACAGTTAATCCCCATACTCATGCATGGTGATTAACTGCTCATGCATATTTTCATGTTGAAGCAGAACCCGCAGTTTCACTTTGAAGAATGTTAACAGGAACACAATTTTAAGAGCCCTGGATATTTTTGTTGGTTAACATGTAAACATGAAAAGAAGGAAAATTTAAGGAGTGAGCTATGAGTAACTGTGGTGCCAATAGTCAAGTTTACATGTGCATAACATGACTCGCCAGATGTATATCACCCCATGCTCAAAGACAGAAAAATGACAAAAAGAGACTCAAAGCCCACCAATATGGTTAGTGGGCTTTGAGCTTCACATAATTGCTGAAAGTTTCCCTATGGGCATGCCGAGCTCAAAGAGTGATTGCATCACAGAGAGCACTTACATTGAGTGCATTACTTGTCACGTCGAGATCAGAGAGGCAGGGCATAAACCCCAGACCATGTGGAAGCTTTTGAAGGTGATTGCTTCTTGCTACCAGAGTTAATAGTTTTCGTGCACAACACACAGTGTCAGGCAGTACGGTAAGCTGTAGAGAGAGAGGGGGAGAAAAATAAAGAGACCAGCTTAATGTAAACATTTTCCAAATTTATGTGTAACACAATCATAAGCCACAAAGTATAATGCATATTATGTTATTTAACTTTTAAAATCACACTTATATAAATCAAGACATCTTTACCTCTAGACAGCTCTATTGCTCAGCACAACACAATTAATACAAAGTGTACTGTAGAAACTAATATTTTCCTTTTCCTTTAGCTAATAATAGCTACTTCACTCGTAAATTTTATACCATCTCATATGCTTTACATGGTTTCATTATTTGTTCACTTCACTTCTTATGGTTCTGACAAACAAAAATCAGGCCATTTGATCAGGTCTTCTAGTTCATTGTATCTGATATTTGTTGCATCTGTGACTGTCGTTTCGACGTGCAACTATACTGTAATGCAGACATCGTGGCACCATTGATGCATGTACGAACATGCAAGAGAAACACCCTATTTCTCAGCAAAATGTGACACTGACTTTCTAGAAAAAAACGCTCCGAGTTTCTTAGCACTTTGTGTAACACGGAAGGCTACGTTTAGTGTGTATTGTTATGTTGATCTACAGAAGGTATAACTCCACTGGGCATATAGCTGTTGTTACTATGAAAATCATATATTTTGCTTCTGTGTTACTGTAGTCTGCCATTTGGCTTATTTATGTGCCATTTCATTTCTTCAGGTGGCCGATGTGAGATGATTCTATGTGACCATCTTAGGCTCAAAGATGCCACTTAAAAAAAAAATTTTAATTCGTAGCCTTGGGCACTGAAACTTTTGCAGTAACAATTTTTCATACCAATTTCAAATATGTAATAAGTTTTATAGGAAGTTGCATAGTTTATGTTTTGTACCATGACAATGTATTAAATGCCATTACATTAAAAAGAGAAAAATAGCAAATATTAGCGTGTAGTGAAAAAGATGAAATGCCAGAGATTAAGGGAGGTATGAGCCTTAAATGTAGCCATGCTGTTGATCACTGTTTTCATAGTAGAAATATAAAAAAATTGGTGGCCACATACTTATGTGGTACATAAACATTCGTGCCTGACTAGATACCTGTTCTGAAAGTATGCTCATGTAAATTTGCTTGTCGTAATCTAGTACAAAATGTTTGGTGCTTGAAAATGCATTGAATAGCTAACACTTATTATTTTCAAAGCAATTTCTTGTACAGTTCAAACAGGCAAGCCTTGTAGAAGTATTTTTAAAAGTTAAACAACCACTGTTAAGAAACCAAAATGTGCATTCAAATACACTGGAATTACATTTTCTGAACGTAATAATAATTGCTAGGTTTTTTTTTACATGTCAAAACCATATGATTATGAAGCACGCTGTAGTGAATGACAAAAATTTCGACCACCTGGGGTTAATGTGCACCTAAACTTAAGTGCACCGGCCTGCAGCATATCACCCACATTGAAACGTGACTGCCATGGCTGGAATTGAACCCGTGTCCTTCTGGTAGGTAGCTGAACACCATAACCACTGAACCACTGAGGCAGCTACTGGGTGATTTCACAAGACAACGGACATGCATGTTCAGTCTATATTTTTGTTTTGTCTGGGTTTTTTATGTTATGTGGGCACATTCAATGTGCACAGAACCAGAAATTTCATTTCCGAAAAATGCTCCCTGCAGAGCAGAAAAATATTTGAAGGTGGCAGCTCGGGCTTTCCTTTTTTGCTCACCACAATATCATTGGATTTCATGGTCAAATTCAGAGAGAACTATAAATGTTGGGTCGAAAATCTTTCCTGCTGATATTCTTAATGCCGTCCTCAAAAAAGAAAGATGGCAAGCATGACCCAAAATAAAAAGGTTTGCTAAGTTTGATGCTTCTTGGCACATCTGCTATTTCACACAGAAACTTCAAAACTATGTCATTTACAGAGAAGAGTCTTTGCAATATTTCTGCAAAAGATCGTTTTCCTACAAGCAGCATAAAGAAAAAAAACAATAGTGAGTTTTTTCGAAAGAGCCCATTTAAAAAAAAAGAAAAAGAAAGAAGAAAAAAATGTTGGTCTCAACTCTGATGAAACCTTTTTATCGAAGAGTGCTTATGTCAGTCAATACACGAATTTAATGTCATATGTCCTTATTTGCTTTTTTTAAGGTGATATTACAGGGGAAAATAGCCCTTGCTGTGTATTCTCAGTTCAGTGCCTTTGATGGTTGTTATCAGGTTGTATTATACATGAACTCAGTATTTTGCTGCAGCAAAACTTCATGTCGGTGGCCTGTCTTCAGAAAAAATGCATTCTCACATTTTAATGTGTCTAGCCTGTGCAGAGGTGGGCTTCTTCTACTCTCTAATGGGCTAACGCGTAAACAGCCAACAATTTCACCTATAAGCATCGGAAGAAAGCTGGATGCACTAGTTCAAAGTATCAATCGCTTCTCCTTCCCGAGGAAATGCCTGGTTTACGTCATTGCGGTCTTCAGATGTCGACAGGTTTTCCTTGAGATGTGTAAAGCAATGCCGATATACCTCTATCGCAAAATCTGCAGTTTGCAGCCTACAACCTTAACTTACCCCGCCATTATTCACTAATCAGGAGCATGCAAGACACCGTGAGCACATGTTTTAGGCAACTTTGCCAAAACTCGCCTTGTACATGAAACAAAGCATCTGCATGAAGCGACAGGTCAGCTTGATTTGTATATAAATGCCACCATTAACAGGCACGATGCTATTGAGGTGCTTTCTCACTGCCTGCTTCTCTTCCATTAAGTGCTTTGGACGCTCTTACCATCTTGCCTATTTGGCGTGCACCTAAATGACATTTATAAAAAGTTATCTCAACCATTTCTGAGCCGCTTATTTCACTTCCCGCAATCACATGTCTTCGGCGTCACAGAAAACGTGTTGTATCCTCTCGACCTTTACCTGAGCGTTTCAGAGACCATAGAACATGTGGTTGCGGCATGTTGAAGCCACAAGTGGGCGAAGCTTTTGTTAAAGTACTTTCACCCGTCCTAAATCGTAGGAATTAGTGATGGTGCCAGACATTTGTTATCTTTAATTTTGTCCACGAGTGTGGCCTACACACTATAATTATCACTATACAAAGTATTTACACTACTAGAGCCTTGGTCATCAAACGTGAAAACTTTAGCAATTCTCGAAATTCATTGATGACAGCAGCATAAAAGCGAGAGTACGAGTGTGACACTGTTAAGTATAAACGTTTTAACTTGGTCTAGCTGTTCACTGTACGTGATGATCGCGGCCCATAGCTAGGTCAGAGTATTGCGTGCCGATTATTTACGCGTTTCCAAAAAGAAGATTGCCAAAGAAAACATTTTTATTGCATAAATGTCTTTCATTACTGTTTTTGTTGTTGTCCACTGTCAGAGACCACTGCCATTGGCTGAGAATATTCACTACAGAGGTCTGCTAGCATTGCTTTACGTGTCTCAACGAAAATCTGTCTACATATGAGAACCGTGATGAGGTAGACCAGACAATTATTCAGGAGGAAGAAGCACCTGATTTTTCAAACACGTGCATCAATCAACCTTTCTCCTGATGCTTGTAGGCAAAATTGTAGGCTGCTAACAGTGTACAGGCGTGAGCATAAGTGAGCAGACCACAGGATCGCGTGGCTGATGGCATCGATGCGCTATTTGGCGACAAGAAGCCTGCTGCGGTGCGCATGCGTGTCCCGTCGTATCAGTTGGCCTCTCACGTCACTATACGCACTCATAGCCAAAACGACAAATGGGTGTCGCTTTCCTTGCTCCAATAAATTTTGCCATTGTTGTTCTTTTCTTTCTACGTAGCGGCTGCAATAGCGCCGGTTCCAGCGCCGAGCTCGCATCGTGATTTATACCGCTTTATTGGCATAACTAAGCGTAGCCAGCCTCCCAAAACGTGATGAAGCTGGAAGCCGCAAAAACAGAGAGACTGATGTGCACTTTGTAACGGTTTATTGATGGAACGCCACTTTTTTCTTCTCTTTTGGCAGCTCCGACCAAGAACACGTTGTACGCGCACTGCGCCGCATCATTCTATTCAGTTTTTATCACACTTCTACGGCCGCCTTGCTTGCGTGCGCCTACAAGAGGTAAAGACACTGCACAGGACATCGGACTTGCTGACCGTCCGACAGTGGTATGAGGATGGAACGTGCAGTACCGTCTTTACCCGGGAATGCCACAATGACACGACCCGTCTTCGACGTGGGAGGCAGCACATTTCAATTTATCCAGACAAGGTCACCTGGCTTTGCACTATAAGACGGCATAGGTCTTCTGCATAGCGAGCACGCAGAAACAAAAGATATTCTTTCTTTCGCCGCTTCCACAAATTCCGCAGTAGATGTGCCCGATTTTTCGAATGTCGGAAGCAGCGACACTTGGAGCAAGATATTTACGTCCTCTGGGAGGACTGTCGACTAACAAGTGGGACAGTGTCTGAGCGTCTGTTGATATGACCTCTGAGTACGTGAGTGGACGACCTTTAACTGATGCTTCGACTTCCGCCAGCATGCTGAGCTGAATTGCACCATACAGCAGTCGTTTGTGCGCTGCGTAAACCAAAAGATGGGTGAACTGGTGAAAAGCAGGAAGCAAGACCGGATGCTGCTTTTCCTCGTTGTCATGAAACTGCTGAAGTCTACCTGCTACACGAAGTATTGGGCGACTGTTGAGAAATGGTTCTAAAGTCAGTATTCTGGATGGCTTGGAATCTCGTAGTCCTTTTTCGAAGGCTATAATTTTGCTTGCGCATGTCATGTGTTCGACGAACTTCAACCAATACATCTGTAACGCTCTGGTTCTTTGTTTCGCACAACGCGCAGGTTCCATTTGGGAGCTCAGAGGAGCCACCTCAGGACACTTCCCGAAAGACAAGTCCGTTTGACGCAAACATTTAATGGCAACAGCTTCGAACCACTTAACCCAAAATATAATGAGTCCCACCTCTTGCATACAGTCACCAAGAAATACAGAAGCTGCACACTAGTC